ACTCGTGAGGGACCCCCCAGTAGGAAGTGGTTCGGAGTCAGGGGGGTTCTCGTCTTCTGGAGCAGTGGATACATGGGTGAGAGGGCGGCTGTTGAGGGTGTGCTCTGCCTCGACCAATAGAGTGTGCAGGACCTCTTCTTTCGGGGCGCGTTCGTGCAGTACGGTGTACAGAGCTGTTTTGATGCTCCGTACCAGACGCTCCCATGCTCCTCCCATGAACGGTGCGCTCGGCGGTATGTATCTCCACTTGATGAACCGGATACTGGCGTCTTCCTGTATAGCTTCTAGTGCTGCCCTCTGTAGCTCGGCGTCCGCGCCGCGGAGATTGGTTCCCTGGTCAGACCACAGCTCCGTCGGGCATCCGCGTCGCGATATGAAGCGACGGAGTGCCATGATGGCGGAGTCGGTGCTCAGATCTCCGGCCAACTCGACGTGGACCGCTCTCGTGGTTAGGCAGGTGAAGATCGCTCCGTATCTTTTTTGTCGTGTGCGGCCTACTGCGACTTGGAGTGGACCGAAGAAATCCAGCCCGGTGTATGTGAACGGGCGTTGATGGTGAGCGAGGCGGCTGGGCGGATGGTTTCCAGTCGAGGGTTGTGGAGGCGTGGCTTTCATGATGCGGCACACTCGGCAACGTTTCAGTTCGCTTCGCACAGCGTTGCGTAGTCGTAGGAGCCAGTAGTGCTGTCGTACCTCGCTGGTGGTGATGCCGAAGCCTCCGTGGTGCGTCTGTTTGTGTATCCAGGCGATATACAGTCGCACCCACGGGTGGTCTCCATCAAGCACGGCTGGTGACCGTTGTTGCTCAGTGATATCACCCGCGGCCGCTATACGCGATCGTAGTCGTATTATGCCTTCGCCGTCGAGTAGCGTTGATAATTTCATAAGGCGGCTAGAGGGCGGAAAGGGGGTCCCCCTCATGAGAGCGTTGATTTCCTCGGTGAACGCCTCTTCCTGTTGTGCTTGTATCCACAGCGACTCGGCGTGGCGTAGATATGATGCGTCGATCGTTTTAAATTTGTGTAAAACTTGCTTTCCACGCGCAGCTTCGGAAGTATTCGCCTTCTTGCTTTCTGTATCATTTTTTCGCCAAGTAGGGTCGGCGTCGGCATTTTTCCTCGTTCTCTTCCTTAAAGCGGCGCATCGTTGTGTGCGCGTCCGCAGCCTGTCTATGAACTGTAGTACGCGCGCTGTGGTCCGCATGAGGCGTATCCAACTTGAGAAACGAGTTACTTCGGGTAGAGCTTCCTTCAGTCGCGCGCCGACGCCTGTGGTGAGGTGGACCCGTTCTTCATCCGTGACGTTGACGTCCGTGACTTCCTCTTGAGGCCAATTTTCTTCCGACATATATAGAAAGTCCGGCCCCCTGTACCATCGATGATTAGAGTCGAAGTCGTGTGGCACGTCGCGGGTGGCGTCGTCTGCGACGTTCATTTTGGTGGGTATCCATCTCCATTCTTTCGTTTTAGTGTGTTCAGCGATCTCCGCCACTCTATGCGCTACGAACGGTTTATAAACTCGCGGTCCGTTGCGTATCCAGGTCAGTACCGTGCGGGAATCTGTCCAGTAGTAGCGGCTTGTCGGTTTAAATTGATGCTCGTCGACGACGGTCTGTGTAAGACGGCAACCCAGCACGGCAGCTTGCAGCTCTAGTCGTGGTATGGAGATCACTTTCAACGGAGCTACTTTCCCCTTGCCGATGATGAGTGAGACGTGTACGTTGCCATCTTCGTCTTCTACACGCCAATAGGTGACGGCCGCGTATGCCGTTGAACTTGCGTCCATGAATGTGTGTAACTGGATGCCGCGCGCGTGACTAAGTTTCATATAGCAGCGCGGTACTTTTATCTTGGCGAGTCGTCGTACATCTTCCAGCCATCTGCTCCAGGCGTCCGCCTCGGGCGCTTCTAACGGGGTGTCCCAATCGATGCCTGAGCGCCACGTGTCTTGTATGATGCGCTTCGCTTGTATGGTGACTGGAGTGGCGATGCCCAATGGATCAAATATGGACATCGTAGTGCGTAGCGCCTCCCTTTTAGTTGGTGTTCTTGCCCCGTTGTATACTTCCGCCGGTGTTTTGTGAGTGTTGATGTTGAAAGACAGGGTGTCTTCCTCTGGTTGCCACACCATGCCCAGTATTTTCGTGCTGTCCAGTTGTAGTATGTCGCCTTTCGACCCCGGTAATAGCGCGCTTAGTACTCGGCGCGAGTTAGATGCCCAACGTTGCAGGAAGTAGTTCGCGCGGCTGTGTATGTACGCAACTTGTGTGGATATGCGTACGGCCGCTCCTTCGTCGTCAAAACTCGCTAGGTAGTCGTCGACGTAATGGTTGTCGATGATTGCCGCCGTTGCCTCGGGGTAGTGAGAACGAAAGTGTTCCGCGTTCTTGTCCTTTACGTAGATAGCAGTACAGGGAGATGATGTGGCGCCGAATATGACACTCTTCATACGGTACTCGGTCGGTTGGCGATCTCGGTCGTCTCCTCTCCACAGGAAGCGCTGCATGTCTCTATCTTCTTCTCGTATGGTCACTCGAAGAAACATGTCTCTGACGTCGGCTGCTACCGCTACTTTTCGCTGACGGAACTTCATCAGCACGCCGGGCAGGGATTGTATTAAGTCCGGGCCTGGTAGTAGCATGTCGTTCAGGCTGACTCCTTTGGCTTTGGCAGCGGCGTCGTGGACCAATCTGAGCTTCTCTGGCTTCTGTGGATTGATGACGGCGAAATGGGGTAAATACCAAGTCTTCGGGTTCTTATGGGGTGGCGCTATTTCTGCGTAGTCGTTGTCGAACAGTGTTTGTAACTGTTTTTCGTATCTCTTTTTCAGTTCCTCGTCGCGGTCGAGTTTCTTTTCAACTAGTTCCAATCTTCTTAACGCCACGTCGTAGCTGTCAGGTGGACGAACGTGCTCGTTACGCCATAGAAGACCGGTTTTAAAGCCTCCCGCCGGTAAACGGCGGGTTTTATCTTCTAGTTGTTGCAGTGCTCGTCGCTCGTCGTCGTTGTGGCTGCGTCTCGGTATGACAGCCAATGACTCGAGGCTGAAGTGTTCCCTCATCATCTGCTCCATGGACTCTTCATCATCAGGGGCGACAGCGTGGAGTACTTTGTGGGTGTTGACTCTTTCATTCGATCTCTTAGTGCCGTGTAGAACCCAACCTAGATCGGTGAGTGTTGCGATCGGTTGGTGTCGGTCTCCTTGTCGCACGGCATGTGTGAGTAAAAGATGCCAGTTGTATTGACCCAGCAGTATCGTAGGTGATCCCTCTTCGTAGATGAGATGCTCTTCTAAGTCGTGCAGGTGGGGGCAAGCTCGTATGACGTTACGTGGGACTGCTTGCGGCGATAGCTTCAAGTTGTTCATGGTGCGGGCCGTTATTGTATGCTCATTCGTGTCGCGCCCGCGCAGAGAAATGCGTACTTGTTGCGATTCGCAGACGTTGATTCGTGTGCCGGCTACACCCTCAATGTAAAAGGGTGCTGGTGTACCCGCTGCGCCGATCCTTCTTGCTAGCGCCGCCTCAATCAGGCTGCACGTTGACCCGTCGTCCAGTAGTGCGAGTGCGTTGCACGTACCCTTGGGGCCCCTCACTTGCACAGGGAGTACCTTCAGTAGCGCGGTGGTGTTGCTTCTGTCTTTTGCTGATGCCACAACAAATGATGCAGGAGCTTCTTTCTTCTCCTTTGATGAGGGTGGAGTGCCATGCAGCAGTGAATGATGCATGTACTCGCAACCGTCGATGCCGCACCTCTTGTTTTTACACGTATGGCGAAATTTGCGTGTCCGTAAACAGCGGAAACATAGCCTATGTTTGCGTGCTATGTCCCACCTGGCGGCTACATCTGCTGTCTTCATTTCGTCGCATTGCGCCGCATGATGACCCGTCTTGTCGCAAATAGGACACGTAGTAACTTGTTCGTGCGCGGCTGGCTTCGCTGTTTGAGTGTGGTAGCTCTTCATGGGTCTCCTGCCTGCTGGCTCCCGCCGGTCTTCCACAGGTGTGTTCTCGACGGGCGCGTAGCTCCCACAACGTGCAGCTGTGCGTTGCATGAACTCGGTCAGGGTTACTAGGTCAGGTTGGTATTCTGGCTGTTCCGCAGCAAAGTCATAGTATCGATAGCGCAATGCTGAAGGCAGCTTCTCAACCACGGCGCGCACTATCTCGGCGTTGTGTAGATAATGCGGTCTGTTTAGCGCCTTCAATGTGGCCGTGACGTTGATGATCTTCGATGCGAAGTTGCAGATGTCTCTCGGATGTTCGCCCAGACGTGGAAGGGTGCGTAGCTTACTCAGTTCGGCCAGTGCGAGCGCGTCCGAACGACCGAACCTTGACGTCAGTAAGCTCATTACTTCGTTGGAGGACGTGGCTCCGACGAATAAACATTGAGCTGCTTCCCTAGCGGTGCCTTTCAAGCTCCTCCGGAGCCTCGCCAGGTTCTCTTGTTCTGTAAGCAGTCCTGCAGATTCTTCATAGGCTGTCTTGAACGGCAGCCAGTCGCTTGATGAACCGTTGAATATGGGTAATTCTTGAAGTCTTGCAGTAGTGGGTTGAATCGCTCGTGCCGCAGTAGTGATCGCCGTTGCTAACTTTTCGTAACATATGTCGCTCGGCGGCTTATGTTCCAGGTGGCCGTCGTTGTTACGATAGTATTGCGGCTGTTGTCTCTCACTTGTGTGCGTGACGTATGTAGAGGGGGGCGCTCCCCCCGCGTAATTGGTGGGGGGGCACCCGGTCCCAGCTGTCGCAGGTGCCGCGTACGTGGAGATTTTTTCCTGTCGAATGACGTCGCGCGTCGGCGGCGGCGCCTGTGATTCGGCAGGTCTTCCCTTCAATATATCTTCCTTCGTACGTGTGGCGGCAGTGTAGTCTTCCTGCTCTTCTCTTCTCAACCCAATAGTGCTTGTGCGAATCCACTCCGATGTGCGTTCTTCGCGGATCGTGGCTTCCTCCGGTTCGTCTTCGTCCGATTCCTCTTGCATTGCCGCGATCTTTGCAGATATTAAATCGATTTTCAGCTTCAATAATTCTTGTTGCGCTTCCGCTAGCTGCCTACGACGACTGTTCGAAGAACCGGATCGAAAAGATCGAACAGATTTAGGAGAGTATATTCTCCGTGGTGCTTCACTTGTAGTGGCGCCGGCTTCGGGTCTCTCTACTAGTTGGGAGACTGGCGAGGTGGCAGTCGGCGCGGCGTCGATTTGTCTGATCGTTGCGTCGGTTTCCACAGTTGCACCTGTTGTACGTGTGGCGTACGTGGAGCGCGTGTGTTCTGAAGTCGTAGCAGTCTTTTCGGTCCCCGTGATCGTGTCGGTGCCCGTCGAACAGGTTGGAGCAGTGGACGAGGATTCTTGGGTATTCACGGGGTACGATTTTGCGCTTCTGGTAACTGGCATTGTTCTTTCTTGATGTAATCCGGCTGCTGAAGGACCAGAAAATGTGGGGGCGGATTATGAGAAAAACGCCTGGTTGTAAATTGAGCTTCTTGATCTTGGTCTTGCTTGGATCGCGGTGAGATTTGGAACGTCTTCGGATTCTCGTGCAGTCAGTTTTGGAATGTCGTTCCGCTCCCAACGCTCCGCCTTTTATATCATCGCTGGCCCGCCGTGCCGCTCGCATTCTATTCAAGTGTGCGAGCGGGACGGCACCAATGCAGGAGCGGGACGGGAGAATCCTACAGACTCCAAGCAAAACCCCTCTCTCCCTCTCGTTTATTTACCAAAATCTTACACGAAATTAACAATAATAAATTACAACATTAAATCACAATATTATAAATCATATGGGCGCGAACACGTTTTCGTCCTGAACAAATACAAAGATCGAACACTCAGAAAAAACACTCAGAAAAAATTCCTTCGATCCGGTCGGATTTGAACCGACGTCTTCTTGCATACCGTGCCAGACGCTATACCAACTAAGCAACTAAGCCACGGAACGAACCAACGGACCTCACGAATTTCTCTGTGTACAAAAAAAAAAAAATTGAATATCAATTCAATAAAAATTTAATTACTATATATTTTTTTCAAAGTGATTGCTTCAATACTTTGAGGTCTTAAAAGTCGGTAGCGATTTCGCAAAGCAATATGTCATCAAAATATTTACTTAACTACGTTTTGGTGTAACTTGTGCCATTTTATTTTCAACTCCTGATCTCCAAGTAAACATAATATGAGAAATGATTCAGACTCAGTTAATGTCATTCCTATGATCACGTAAACACCCAGTGCATATTACCTACATTATTAGTATTCAAATTTAGTGCTAATACTTTCTTTACACAGCCTGGAGTATGTAATAACTGCTATTTTTTATTCCTGCTGTAGTTTGCTGGGTCTTACATGGTTACTCGAATAGATATACGCCATAGATAGTATTGGTTGAAACAATAAGCTTAAGAAGTAGTGAAGAGAAACAGAGACATCAAAACACTGCAATATTTCAAGCAAAGTAAGATTTGATTCGTTATCAAAGTCAAAGTCAAAGATGATTTATTTCATAGGTAAAATAAATTTACACTTGAAAACGTCACATTTAAGGTACTGCTCGTTCACTACGCTGACCTCCCTGAGAAGAACGAGCAAGAAACTCTAGGGATTGCTCTTTTCAAATAAACTTAAATGCTATGGAATACATTTTGAATCAAATTTGTGTGGATTCTGGAGCCATGTCGTCTTTCCATACATCTTTATCTAACACGTAGTCTTCAATTTTGTAATATGATTTTTCGATCAAAATATTTTTAATGTAGTTTTTAAACTTAGGAAATGATAAACTTAATATATGCTCCGGAATCTTATTGTAAAAACGTATACAGTTCCCCATAAAAGAGTTGTTTACCTTGGTTAAACGAAATCGTGGTACCATGAGTTTGGACTTAGCTCTAAGGTTAATATTATGGATATCTTCTTTCTTATTGAAATTATGTATATTTTTACGGGCATATAAAATATTTGAGTAAATGTACTGTGATGCCACAGTCATGATACCAGTCTCCTTAAACTTTTCTCTGAGAGATACCCGAGAGCCTAGACGGTACACAGAACGAATCGCTCGTTTTTGCAATACAAATATGGTTTGAATATCTGCCGCTTTACCCCACATGAGAATCCCGTAGGACATTATACTATGGAAGTAACTAAAGTAAACTAGTCTAGCAGTACTAACATCGGTAAGCTCACGTATTCTGCGGACTGCGTATGCAGCGGAGCTTAATCTGCTGGCCAGGGACGATATATGTGGAAACCACTGAAGTTTACTATCTAAGGTCACTCCCAAGAACACTTCATTATTAACAAGGTCTAACTTTTCTCCGTTTATTTCTATGCTTGGACTAGTCGATTTTACGTTAGGTAATTCAAATTTAACACATTTTGTCTTCTTGGCATTAAGCAATAAATTGTTAGCATTAAACCAATAAACTACTTTAGAGAGGGTATCATTAATACGGTCATAGTTAATGTCATGTCTGTTATGAAGCAATAACGAATGCACAACAATAAAGAACTGAAACTCTGCGTGTTAAAATAAAATTTGTGGTAAAACCAACTGTTGTCGGACTCTGAAACTCAAGTTTGAGAAAACTCTTTGTTTTCGTCAGAACTTTTATGGAGCTATATAAAATTTTCCAATCGAAATGTTGGAACTACTGAACTCCGCATTACTTTGTGTCGAGTCACAAATCAAGTCGCCGACGTTCGGCCGCCATCTTGGTTTCACGTGAGCAGGGACCTACTAATCGGGATACACAGTCGAGAATGTTATTCGAATTTTTATTTTTACTTTGTAACACTGCCAAGATGGCGTTGCAACATGCATGAAAAACGACAAATAGTCCTTATTGTCATATTTGAACTAAGGTATTTATCAGTCTAGATCAAGCCCAAGCCTAGTGAGCGCCATTAAGGAAACAATAATAACAATTCTATCATAAAGATCCACGTCTCCCAAAAAGCCTAACATACCATACAGAAAAATAGTCCACTAGTGGTGTAGGATTCTTTAAAACATAGAAAATTTGTGTAGGAAAACCGATGGAATTAACCTTATTGATTTCTGTTCCCGTGAGAAATCTTTGAGGTCAAAGCAGTCTTACGTTTAATATGTCGCTGTCTGCACTCAGCAACTTTTAATTTAATACATTTGAGTTATATCCCTGTGCTACAGGTTTTTTTATGTGGATATTGTGGTGGACGTCCGAGCGATAAGTACATTAGATAGATAGATGGTATTTTGTTCAAATGAGAGTTTCTTTTTGTTTGATGTCGATTATAGATTTTCTTTCCGAGTCGTTCGAATCATGCAGTTTATAATCGAAATAATCTCGATCTAATGCATGACATAATATGGAGAGTTATCTCCTCAGAATTAATCTAAATTGTTTTGTCCGCAAATGGCTTGATTGCAGCCAGTCTCGTTTACAATTTGAGACGGAAAACTTTCAGTGCTGTGCCATTTCCAAATCCAATGCAGAAACAATGTGAAAAATTTATTTTTTTCGGAGAACCACGGAGTGTATCTGCGTAGTCTGCATCAAAACTGTGGACCTAGTGCGAAAACAAACTAAGTCCAGATTACGGAGGCTTGGAAGCTAAAATTAAGCTTAATAATAAATAAATAAATAAATAACGCACACACTCAACATAGCCCCGCACTAGGGAAACCCTGTGTCGCGGGTGCCATGGACACACACATAGACAACTACAAATTACACCCAAACTCACGAGAGAAATAAATGTAGGCCATACAAACATTTCTCCCGGCCCGGGAATCGAACCTGGGACCTCTGCGTGGCAGTCCGGCATGGTAACCGTTCGGCCACGGAGGCAGTTAAAAGCAGCTTGGCAAGACATATAACGAGACGTGACGATGGAGTAAAGTGGCAACCAAATTCTTGAGTTATACACTCGTATAATCCTACAGCAAGATGAATGGATGACAATGTCAAAGTCACGGGCCATAGGTGGGTGAGATAAGTTCAAGACCGTACAGATGGCACAAACTATGGGAGGCAGATAACCCAAACAAATAATATCTTTTCTCGCCACAATTTAGATGTTTCTTAAAACAAAAAGGTACAGTGTTGCTGGTTGAGCTACTAGGTAGACAATAAATTGTGGAAGATCAGTGTTTAAGCTGGTCTAAAGCCGGTAGTTCAGGACATCGTGTCTAAACTCACCCTGGATACATTTTATTAAAGTAGGAATTTTAGTACAAATGGATGATAAATAACAAGTTCTTAGGTTTTTGCGATTGTTACACATTGAAAATGAAACTATTTTACTACACGTACTAGGGTGGATTTCATTAATCTTGTACTTCTTCTTAAGGTGCCATCATCTACCAAAGGTCGGCTATCATTAGGGCTATCTGTATTTAGACACAACTGCAAGGAACAAGGATCTTGCGCTCAGGTTGGACCATATCCGGAGATTCTTAAGCCATGAAGTACGCTTTCCAGGTTATCGTTTTCTCTGGATTTATCCTTGCGTAATTAGTTGGAGCACGTTGTGTTTATTATTACGCATTATATGACCAAAATACTGTCGCTTGCGTTTTTTGACCGTACTCAAAACCTCCAATTTCTTGTTCACCATCTGCAATACTCTTTCATTGGAGACTCTATGCGTCCACGATATTTTTAAAATTCTTCTGTATTACCCACATTTCGACGGCTTCTAAGCGGTTGCTCATGTTTTGAGGTCCAGGTCCAGGACTCATTGCATTAATGTTTGAATAATTGATCACTTTACCATCTCAATCAGCTTCTATGATATACGCGATTTAGATCCGAAAAAATAGTTTAATTTCCAATGGACGATATAATTCAAATATATAATTACAGTTTTACGGTGTAGATATTTCCATTACATAAAAAATGTAAGTTTATTATTTCATAGTTTTTTACATTGTTAAAATTTCGTTTTTGACGTTAATAGTTTTATTATTTTGACATCTAATTACATTAAAAATATTTTAATTGAAATTGATTCATATAACTATCACTGCATCTAAATTGCAGACCGACTTATTAAATCCATGTGTGCACGCTCATCTGATATTAGAAAAAATAACATGTTATATCTGGTTTAGTCTGTTAAAATGCATGCGAATACATGTATAATTAATAACACTTTCAACACGTTTGTATGCCTAATGTTTGGCCGGACACAGTGAAACTCTAATTATTTTGTACATGTCAACTTCCAAATAACCTGTGTTTTCACAAATACATGAATTATAAATTATGTTTTTTTTTCCTTTAGACTTAACATGGTGATTTTTGATCTCAATTATTTGAGACGACGTTCCAACCTGTAGAATTATATTGATTATGCTAGTTTAAAATTTCATGTATATCGGTTAAGTAACGGCTGAATAATTCCTTTTGGAAGTATAGTGCAGTTTGCGTGGAGC